TTTAAATTTTATTTGATTGTGAGGTTTTTGTTTTCTCTAATCTAAAAATAAAGGCCTCAATTTTTTATTTTTTTTTGCCTGGGACTACTTATATATACGATAAAAGAGCTAGCTGTGCACTCAGGTACACATATCCTGCACTGAAAATTGACAACAAGTATTGTTGAAACCATGAAAATGTGGCCATAGGGGAAGGCTATAAAAGACAAACTGGACTTCGGTTCGCGCCTTTTACTTGGAGGAAATTTTAATAACTGGACCTCAGCGACTTTTAATTGAACACCCCTGCCACAGAGGGTTAATTTGGCTCTAAATTGAATTAATTGGTGATGTCAGGTTTCAGGCATGTGGACAAATGCCAGTTCATTAATAAACTGTGTGTTGCTATCTTCCTGACATAAATGGAGCCATTAAAATGTGGGAAACTCCAGTTTGCTGAACATGAATAGTTTACAAGTGCAGGATGAAGGGCCGCTCTGAGGCATTCTCTTGACCTTAACCTGACATTAGCTTTCCTCTTCTCTCTGTCACACACATTTGTCTCTGCTATATCTGTGATGCTGTTCTGATATGATACAGTTGGAGTACTCCATTCATTTTTTGTAAATCTTGTTTAGACATCCTCATGAAAGAAGATCCAGTATTTTCTGTCTTGCAGTTAAAGCGTGCTTCAGATAACGATAACAGGCCTTCCCTATTCTGCCCATTGTTTTAGTCAGTGTTGTATTTATGGTATGACTGAAGCAGGTCAGACATAAAGCTTATTATTTAGGTCAGCAGGGTGGCGCAGTTGGTAGCACTGTTGCCTCGCAGCAAGAAGGTTGCCGGTTCGCGTCCCGGTGGGGGCACCGGAATGTTTCTGCTTGGAGTTTGCTTGTTCTCCCCATGCAGCGTGGGTTCTCTCCGGGTTCTCCGGCTTCCTCCCACACAGTCCTAAAACATGTTGAGGTTAATTGGTGATTCTAAATTGTCCGTAGGTGTGAATGTGAGTGTGCTTCGTTGTCTGTCTCTAAGTGTAGCCCTGCGATGGACTGACGACCTGTCCAGGGTGTCCCCTGCCTTCGCCCTAAGTCGGCTGGGATAGGCTCCAGCCCCCCCGCGACCCTCGTGAGGATTAAGCGGTGTATAGATAATGGATGGATGGATGGATGGATGGATGGACTTAGGGCAAAGGCAGGGACACCCTGGACAGGTCGCCAGTCTATCACAGGGTTACACTTAGAGACAGACAACCAAGCACACTCACATTGACACCTACGACAAGACCTTCTTGCTGCGAGGCCACAGTGCTAACCACCGATTCACCTTGCAGCCCCCTCCTCAGGTGTTAACAACAAAAATAGAGCACTCTTTGTCACAAATGGCTTTCTGGAATCACAACAGTACAGTAGTATAAGCTTTGGTAGTCAAAGAAACTTTAATGTTTTAGATTTGAAAAGAAACACTAAACAGGCCACAGTTCTGTCTAAAGTTAAGCTGAGCTCTCCAAAAATCTGAGTTGAAGGCTTGTACACGTGTGTCACAGCTAGTTTGGTCCAAAAGGATATTTACACATCGTGATGTGAAAACTTAAACCCTGCATTACTCAAACATTGAAAATGAATTTTCAGTCAAATGTATACAATTAAACTTTTGAAATTAAAAATCTTTGCATTTTTGAAGATTGAGAGATTTTCAGTAAGGGCCAAGGTAATTGGCCAAGTCCTATAGACTTTTTTTTAAGATGGAACAATGTAGGAAATATAGCACAGGACAGTAGTCCCTGAAGAGTTTATGACACAATGCTAAAGCATGGAGTTATGATCCAGCACTTGGAGAAGTTTTTGGATGTCTCTCTTTTTTCTCCCTACACACTGCTAAACCTGTGTAAAAAAATATATATATATGAGAGGTAAATTGACCATATCTAGTTTTTAATAAGAGGCCAAATTTCCCACATAAGAATCTGATGAGGTGTGGAGTATATGTTCATGTACGTATTAGACCTTTCAAATCAGAGTGGGTACATTAGGTGTTTATAATTGTTGTTTTCTGTTTCAGACTGGGCTAGTATATGTCTAGTCCTCTGAGAAATTAACCTTCATTCCAACTGTTAAACACACATGCAGAAAGCAGCCATGTTACTGTGAGTGTGCGTCATTGTGACACAGATTAGCAGCCAGTCACTTCACACACACATTTCCTTCAGCTGACCTAATTGTTTATCATAGTTCTCCTCTCCATTTTTGGCCATTTTCAAAATCTATCTCCTCCTAGGAAATACGTCGTACACACCTGAAATTCGGTGAGCACAAACTACAGGACGTGGTGATTAAAAGGTATCAAAACGCTCCTCAGATGAGGCCCGGTATGGGCATGGCGGCCCATCCAATTTCGAACAATGGCCATTTTGTCCATTTTCGGGGCATTTCTGGCATTTATCACAGTCCTGTCGGAAGGTTGTTTCACCTACAGCTACAAGATTCGGTGGGCATATGTAGCAGGTTAGTACGCACAAAAAAGTCAATTGTTGCCAAGTCCTAAACCCAACAGGAAGTCTGCTATTTTGAAAAAAGTTGGTGACACTTTTGGCGATTGTGCCTGACTTTTGGACATTTTTGGCCATTTTCAAAATCTATCTCCTCCTACAGGGAAGGTCATACACACCTGAAAGTTGGCCACCACAAACTACAGGAGATGGTGATTCAATGTTATTAAAGCGGTCCGCACAAGTGTGACGGCGTGGAAATGGCGCCCCCCTGAATTTGGCCACAACGCCATAAAACACCAGAATACGAGACGTGCTGTGTCTGTGCTCCGATCAGCCTCCAACTTTACACGCGTGCTCCAAGTCTCAGCCAGAGCTCGTTTCCACCACGGCCAACATGTACACCGCCGCACCTCGCCACTAAACAGGAAGTGGCTCGTAACTAGGCCGCTCCGATGTGCCAGAAAGTTGACAGGCCAAATCAGAGTCCCGCCCGGAGCACGTTTGCACCACACCCCGACGTGCGCGATGACCAACAAGCGCCAGGCGACTTTAATTATTATTATTATTATTATTTATTACTTTGATCATGGTGTAGAATAGATGTCCTGTGAGCACCTATTTGACTTTGATTAACATGCTTCAGTTCTCACCTCCTGACTGTTTTGTTAGTTTTTTATTCTCTCCAGTCACGTTGAAGGCCTTTTCTTCTCACCTTGAAAAACCAAAGGCCAGTCCCTCACCCTCCTCCTTCTCTCCTTCTTCACCTTCCTCAGAGATAAAGCCTAATTCACCAACACCCTGAGGGGACGCTTTGTCTATTTCTGACTGCCCTCTCTATCCACTTTTTGAGTTTATCTCACATCAGAGGTGGGAAGTAACCAAGTACAAATACTTAAGTAAACTTAAGTAGATTTTGCAGGTGTCTGTACTTTACTTGAGTATTCATTTTTCTGACGACTTTTTACTTTTTACTCCCTACATTTGAACACAAATATCTGTACTTTCTACTCCTTACATTCTCAAAACTGGCTCGTGACTTGTTTCAACCTCCACAGATGACGACATGAAGTAGAAGACGTAACGACATACATCTTTATCTTTCCCAGCAGTGTGCAATTTGTCACTGAAGCTCAACACACCCCTGCCTGCCTCAGTTGCCTGCAAGAGGTTTTTAGCACTGCAGGACTGATTGTCAGACCCAAAAGGACACATCTTCGTTCGAAGAACTTTGAGAACCAGCTTCAACTGAGGCTGAATAAAAGATTTTGGTAGTCTTGACGAGATGAGTGTTTCCATGTTGATTATCAGGTTTTATGTTCACAATGTTGCTGAAATGTTCTCCCCGTGCAGCGTGGGTTCTCTCCGGGTTCTCCGGCTTCCTCCCACACAGTCCTAAAACATGTTGAGGTTAATTGGTGATTCTAAATTGTCCGTAGGTGTGAATGTGAGTGTGCTTGGTTGTCTGTCTCTAAGTGTAGCCCTGCGATAGACTGACGACCTGTCCAGGGTGTCCCCTGCCTTCGCCCTAAATCGGCTGGGATAGGCTCCAGCCCCCCCCCCCCCCGCGACCCTCGTGAGGATTAAGCGGTGTATAGATAATGGATGGATGGATGTTGCTGAAATGGAAAACTGTCCAGTGATGTTTTTCTCTCTACCAGCACTGTGCAGTTTCTTAAAGGATGGAAGCAATCCTATTTTGTGTGCTTAAAATTTTTTCGTTTTGCAGCGCTATCAAAAGAGGTATCGTGTATCATCGAAGCTAAAAATTCATTTTTGCTTTTTACTTTTGTACTTAAGTAAATTTCTGAACCTGTACTTTTTTACTTTTACTTGAGTAAAAGAGTTGAGTCAGTACTTCTGTTTTTACCAGAGTCTACTTTTGCACAAGTATCTCTCCTTCTACTTCAGTAAAGAATGTGAGTACTTGTACCATCTCTGGAAGAAATTAAAGGTAGTTGAAGGAGGGCAGCTGTGTAGTATTTTTGATTAATTTAGAAAGTTTGTTTTCTAATCACAATCCTGTTTTTGCACTTGGAATGGAAAAGAAAGTGATCAGTCAACAGTACAAATGGCCTCATTCGAGACAAGCTCATAATTAGTTTGCTATATTTGGAGGTGCTTTGCTATTTCTGCTACCACCTCCAACGAGTCAGAACACATACATTCACACACTGGGGTTAGAGAACATTTTATTTCTACTGCCTTGTGGGATTCACCATAAATAGCCTGACATAGGTTTTACACTCATTTTGGTGAGATTGTGGATGAAACGGGGAATGCAGACTATAGTTTGGGTTTCCTGTGGGTGCTCCAGTTTCCTCCCACAGTCCAAACACAAACTCTGAATTACAGATGCGCGTGTGTGTCTCTGACAGTGTGAGACTGTCATCCCAGCTGCAGTGCTCTTGACTTTTCCTAGATTAAGCAGAGGAAATAACAGATGTATGATGTTTTTTCTACTGAAGAATTGCAAAAGGGGCAATTGAACATGTTTCCATCTGATGTGTGTCATGTGTATATTTACTTGTAGTGCGGCTGGAGGAGAGATCTTTAATCAGTGTGTGTCAGACCAGGAGGAGGAAGCCTTCAGTGAGGAGGATGTGAGGAGGCTCATGAGACAGATCCTGGAGGGAGTGGCATTCCTCCACCAGAACAACGTGGTCCACCTTGACCTGAAGGTCAGTGGACACACAAACACTATCTGTCTCCTACATGTATTCTGCTTTTCTGGTATAGTCCATTCATCTCCACTCCTGTTTCATAATGAGCTCCAAAGGTAAAACTTGATTCTGTCTTTGGTAAAACGTCACTGTGACACATGCCAGTGGTCATCTGTTTTTGCCCAGTGTAGTAAGGCCACACTGAATTTTTTTTCGCTGTAAACATGTCATTCTCAGCTGTGACAGTTCACCTTTACAATAATCGTTTCCTCACCTGATTGGACATTGCACCTTGCAATTTTTTTTTATTCATCAGCATTTCAACTTTAAAACTGAAAAACATGCTATACTTAACTTGCCATAGCAAAAACGGCAAATAGTTTCTCTGTTTTTTTTTGCCCAGGTTCCGTTGAAACTAGTGGCAAACTTTGCCTGAGACCACAGAAATGACTAGTAGTACATTTTAAGATCTATGTATTTTATTGGGAATTGGTTAAACAAGACCAATGATTTAAAAATGCTAAATTATTGGACTCCCATTTTAAAAATAATTGTTTATATCATTGGAATATAGCATTTTTACCGCCAGTTTTCTGTTATTACAAAGGCCAAAAATAATGGAAAATAATGAGCATATTATTTTAAGTATTAATTACTGCCTTAGTTTTTAGCAAATACTTGAGGACAAAGCAGTTGTTAAATACCAGAATGTCAGAAGACACTGATTGGAATCCAGAAGAAACAATGTCCTGTGAAATTATTGTTAAAATATGATTAGTCTTATATAAATCCGTTTTCAAATGTTTCACTTACCCTGCTGAGACAGAAAAAGGAGACAGTTGTTTTTGTCCAGTACTGTTGGCAGATGTACCATCATTGTCTCGAGTTCTAAATGTAAGAAATAAAAATATAAAAACATAGGTAGCACCATAATGAGTGGAAACAAATTGCCTGGAGTGAATACATTCAACGAAACATGAATACAGACTATAAACCTACAGTTCAGTCTCTAAGTATTTAAACAATTACACCTTTTATTTCTTTAGGCTCTGAGCTTCAGCAGTGTGTACAAAGTCTCAGCTTTACTACCAGATAGAAAGAATTGTGTGGGAGATACAGTCCTTTTAGAGACTTACACTGTAAAAGTTCAGGGGGTCAAAGATGATTGGACATCAATGAAAGCTTTGTAAATTCCCTGATGAAGCTCTCCCAGGCATTCACTTTTAACAAATATACTCCCTTTTGATGCATCTCTGCTTTAGCCTGTGGTCACCTCTTTAGTTCTTGACAGACATTCACCTTCATCTTAAAGGAAACTCCCAATCACCTGTAAATATGTGTGACACTGCACCACAGATGAGAATGTCCTGTATGAAACTGATGAAAGAGAAAGCACGTCACTGCACTGTACTGATCATCAGATGGCACAGATTAGACAGATGTGGATGAGTGTTTGCTGTCCGACGCTAACATGTGTGCTGTCCTGTCAGCCCCAAAACATCTTGCTGACCAGCAGCTGTCCTCTGGGTGACATTAAGATTGTGGACTTCGGTCTGTCCAGGATGATCAGCAGCCACCACGAACTCAGAGAGATTATGGGAACCCCGGAGTATGTTGGTCAGTCGGTGTTTATCCTTGCTTCTACCACCTTGCAATAATTTTAGCAATAATTTGATTCTGAATGATAATTCACGTTTCTTGTCACATTTTCAGCTCCCGAAATTCTGAATTATGAGCCGATAAGCACGGCAACAGATATGTGGTAAGAAACCTTGAGTGTGCAATAGCCAGTAGTTTTGCAGTTTTTGAGTTAAACTTCAGTGGGAATGTCATGAGCTTAAACTGGACAATTAATCTCTCTTTTTGTAGTCGTGTAGGATCATTGTGTTTGTGTTTTACAAGCAAAGAGTGTGGACATGAAGGATTTCTTCATGTCCACACTCTTTAAAGCTTATTTGAGTTTGACTTCAGTCTTGTTGATCCATCAAACAGAAAGCTGTTGATCCATGTGATGAATTATGTAAGGGCACCTTCCAATCCCACAGGACCCTCCTCCTGCTACAGCGTCAGTGTTACATTTAATGTGTGTGTGTATAAGCATAGAAACCCAGTTTTATTCTAACTTTTAAACCCAAAAATCCACCAACAGGTTGAACGGCATGTTATCTTTTTAAAAAATCACCAAAATTACAACATTTATCAGAGGCTTTTTTCTGTGCTGTAGAAACAAAAAAATTGTCAGCTTTTCAACTTCTGACAATCCTTGAACTACTCATTGGTGAGTGTACCAAGTCCAAGATTAAAAATGAATTTTATCTTCATATTTCATTTAACACTACCAAAATAAGCCATTTCCACCAGTTCCTGTCAAAAAAACAAAACATTCTGCACTCATCAGTGCAACTATGAAACCATTAGGGAGTCAGCTGTGAGCAAGTTGCATGACAAAACCTTTTAAAAGACCTGCAGGTTGTACTCACACAGAGAAAGCCGGAGACACATATGGAAACAAAATAAAAATGTCAGTAACATAGTGTTTATATTTATATCCATAATCTGTCATTTATATCCATAATACAGTGGCTTGCAAAAGTATTCACCCCCCTTGGCTTTTTTCTTATTTTGTTACATTACACCTGTAATTTAAATGTTTTTTTTAATCTGAGTTTTATGTCATGGATCTGCACAAAACAATCTAAGTTGGCAAAGTGCAATGAGAAAATAATATATAAAAATAGAATTTTAAG